GTGTTAAATAAATTATATCGTGATCAAATTAAATACACATTAAATCAATCTTAATACAAGTTGAATACTTGTATATTATACGTATTGAATAAAAAGAATTCAACATAAATACTAAAAATGTAAATATCATCCTTCAATCAAAGTGTTTGGTCAAAAATCACGTCAAAAAATCGAGTTGAGAAGCCAAGGCATGAGCAGCAATGAGATGAAGAAGAGATGTGAGGCAGATGAGAATTTTGATAATTAGATTTTTGGTTTAAAGTACTAATTTTCTTTTTAATATTTTTTAGTTTATTGTGTTTGATTTTAATAGATAATTCGGAACCCAGCCTAACCCGCCTAAAATTTGATTTCCCAACCCGAACCCAACCAAATCCAACCCAACCCAATTGAACTTGGGTTGGGTTGATCGATTTGACTGATTCAGATGGGTTTTTGTCTAGCCATACCTATGCCAAGAGAGGAAATTACACAAAACCAGAATTTTAAAGTTACAATTTCAAATTTCAAATATAAACTTTATTTATACAAACATCAGATATTCATTTATCTATTTCATCTACATTTTCTCTCTAAATCGTAATTACTTAAACCTAACCCTAATTTTATCATCTTCCCCTCCTTTCTCAATCTCTCTTCCCCCGAAAGAAATGGCCGTCGTAGCCAGATCTATATTCCGATCGTCTTCAGTTCGTAGCGTCGCTTCCCCTTCTGTCTTCTTTCCAGGAACCCCCTGGCTCACCGCATCTTCCGGTGTCCAGCTGAGATGAGTTCGTGTCCTGCAAACGGTTCATCTATGATGTGCTTAGAATATCAGCTTCTCAGTTCTCTGCAGGTTAGATTGTGTTAAAAAAAGCTTCTCTCTCTTTCTTAATTTAAATTTTCGATTCTCTTTCTGAAAGTTTAAACTTCCGTCCATTTAATTGTTGCGGCCAATCTTATTGGACGAGGAGGGTGTAACTCTGTATACAAGGGGATTCTTCCTAGTGGCAAACCAATGTCAATAAAGAGAGATGGTGGTGATTTTGAAATGGAAAATGGTAGTTGTTGGAAATGGTGGTACTTGGTGAATTGAGGTATGGAGTGAAATTAAGAGGGATTGTGACCATTAATTTGGGTATTCTGTGACTAAAAAATAACACGTGACCAATAAGTAATATGTGACCTAAAAATTTGAATGACTTATGAAATTTGTGATTTGTGACCGATAAATGAATTGTGATTTATAAAATTTTTGATTTGTGATCGAAAAATGAATTTGTGACCAAATTGTATAAAATTGCGATCAAGTTGTGACGTATAAATTTTTTTATTTGACACCGATGAACATATTGTGACTTATAAAATTTCTGAATTGTAATCTATAAAATTTCTGATTTGTGACCGTAAAATAATTTGTGACTTATAAAATTTCTGATTTGTGATCGATGAACAAATTGTGACATATACAATTTTTGAATTGTGATCGTAAAATAATTTGTGACGTTTCAATTTTTTATTTGTGACCAATAAACAAATTGTGACCTATAAAATTTTTGAATCGTGACGGTAAAATAATTTGTGACATGTAAAATTTGTGATTTGTGAAAAATTAATTATATGTGACAATTATATAGAATTTGTAACCAAATTAAATGGAATTGTGACCTTAATATATTTAATTAATAAAATATATGTTTAATTAATTAATTTATAAATAAAATATAAAAATACCTGAAATTTTAAATTTTAAACTTAAGTTCTTAAATTTGAAATTGGTAAAACTAAACCTCTTGGTTACGTATTGTTCCCATGCCAAAACATCATGAACGAATACTAAGATTTGGAAATGAGGAAATTACAGGCAGCCAGGTATTTAAAATACCATTTTCACAAAT